ATAAAATTGTAGATCTTTATCGTTATACTAATAAAAATGAGAAATAATATATTCCGAGTATGTAAACACCGTGCCACGGACGTACGTTGCAATTTTTCCTGTCATATTCTACGAACATCCATTTCATCGTTGTTAACTTCATCATTCAAAGGATTCAAATTTTCACCAGCTAGAAGTGCTTCAATCTCGCGATATGTTTTTCCTCTTGTATCCGGTACGCATATGAACATCATCACTAATGCCACAAAGCATGATGACGCGAACAACGCGTAATTGTCAAACACTCCTATATTATCGGTAATCACTTGAGTCAGTTTCGACACGGTAAAACCAATTACACCATCGAAAATGACAACGATGGCACCCACAAAGCCTATCAGTTTCGTAGGAAATAAGTCACATAGGAAAACGTTGAGTAACGTACCTAAACCAATGTGAAACACAACTAGATGCAAAATTAAAGACGTGACAAATTCCTCAGATATATATTTAGGTGCGTAAAGATAAGATGATAAAAGAATCGATATACAACACGTCCCAGCCGTAGACAGAATCACATGTTTTCTTCTTCCACACCAATCCACTATAAACACGGTTAAATAGCTAGGTAAAAGGCGGATAATCTCGACACAAATCAATATGTCGTTTAGACCCGTAGAGGTCGCTTTTCTGCTAATGAAATCCCGCAGGTGCTGCGTAGCGGTGAAGTTACCGCTAAGATGTTGTGTCATGAAAGCACGATAAACAGAGCTTTCCTGTTGCTTCGTTGTAGTATTGCTCGCAGCTTTTCTAAACAGGTATATTTAGTTAAATCCATGTATGGCTCAGATATGTCCGCTGATGCTCGTGAATCCACTCTGGATTGTGTGCCTAAGTCGCTTCTGGCTCGTGAGTGTAATTCGCTTCTCGTTTCTGGGAGTATTTGGCTGGTGGATGGTCGGTGTATTTGGCTTGTGGATGGTCGGTGTATTTCATTTGTGGTTTCTGGGTGTGTTTCGCTTGTTGCTTCTGGGTGTATTTCTCTTGTGATTTCTCGAGGTATTTCGCTTGTGGATGGTCGGTTTATTTGCCTTGCGGATGGTCGGTGTATATCGTTTGTGGTTTCTGGGAGTATTTCGCTTGTGCTTTCTGGGTGTATTTCGCATGTTGCTTCTGGATGCTTTTCACTTGTGGATGCTTGGTGTATTTCGCATGTGGGATCTGGGTGTATTTTGCTTGTCGGGCGCCGGTGTATTTGGCTAGTGGATGGTCGGTGCAAGTCGCTTGCGGATTGTGAGTGTAATTCGCGCGTGGTTTGTGGTGGTAGTCCGTGCGAGACGCGCGAGTATTCTACGTGTAATTCGCCCGTGGCTTGTGTACGTACTTCGCATTTGAATTTTGAGTGTACTGAGGATATGGATTGTGAGTGTGAGTCGCTACTGGATGGTAAGTTTAAATCGGACGTGGCTTCTGTGTCTACTACTTCCCGTGTGGGGTCTGAGTGTGTTTCGCGTATTGATTGTGAGGGTAAATTGCTTGTGTAAGGTGGGGGTAAATCTCTACATGATGATGGTTCTGGGTGTATTTCGCTTGTTGCTTCTTGGTGTATTCCGCTTATGGTTTCTGGGTGTATTTCGCCTGTTGCTTCTGGGTGTATTTCTCTTGTGATTTCTGGAGGTATTTCGCTTGTTGCTTCTGGGTGTATTTCGCTTGTTGCTTCTTGGTGTATTCCGCTTATGGTTTCTGGGTGTATTTCGCCTGTTGCTTCTGGGTGTATTTCGCTTGTGATTTCTGGAGGTATTTCGCTTGTTGCTTCTGGGTGTATTTCGCTTGTGGTTTGTGGATGTATTTCGCTTGTGGATGGTTGGTACATTTCGCATGTGGGGTCTGGGTGTATTTGGCTTGTCGGGGGCCGGTGTATTTGGCTAGTGGATTGTCGGTGTAAGTCGCTTGCAGATTGTGAGTGTAATTCGAGCGAGGTTTGGAGTGGTAGCCCGGGCGAGACGCGCGAGTATTCTACGCGTAATTCGCCCGTGGTTAGTGTGCGTACTTCGCATTTGAATTTTGAATCTACTGAGGATATGGATTGTGAGTGTGAGTCGCTACTGGATGGTAAGTTTAAATCGGACGTGGCTTCTGTGCCTACTACTTCCCGTGTGGGGTCTGAGTGTGTTTCGCGTATTGATTGTGAGGGTAAATTGCTTCTGTAAGGTGGGGGTAAATCTCTACATGATGGTGGGGGGAAAAGAGTACTGTACGATGGGGGTAAATCGCCACTTGATGGAGGGGGCAAATTGATACTATACGGTGTGGTTAAATCTCTCCTGGATTCGTGTAAATCGCTTGTGAATTGTTGGTGTAATCCGTATCTGGCTTCTGCGCGTAGAGCACGTAGTTCGACTTTCACTTGGTCCGGATCTTCGATGCCTTTGTAATATGCTATCGACTTGCATGCTTGCTCCTTTTTACCTTTTGCCACCAAGAAATACGGAGTTTCGCGTATGTATATGAGCGGCAAGATGGAGATAGCGGATATTCCTGCAAGAGCCAGCAGGTGTGACGTGTACGTCAGCGAGGATCCAGTAACGTAGGTTAGTAGTGACCCGAAATATACGTTCGCTGCGATTAGAGTACTCAGGCGTCCTCTGAGTTTGACGTCGGCGACTTCTGACACGAACATGGGATTTATCGTGCTGGCAATACCAACGCCTATACCGAGAATCCCCCGGGCAAAGTATAGCATTTGCACAGAAGTTGCGGAGTACATGTCGAGCCATCCTATGGTGAACATTATGCTGCATGCAACAAGGCAGTATTTACGACCGATGCGATCGGCCAACTGCGCAGCCAGAAGTGAACCGATCATTGAACTAAGTACTGTCAAAGAAACGCTCCATGAATATTCGTCGTGTGTTAACCTTAGCGGCACTTCGCCGATTCCAGTTGTTAGAGGGAGAAATGAAGAGTTTGTCCATCCGTAGACTGTACCGACCAAGCACATGGTTATCGTTCCTGGAATGAGAAACAGTTAATGCTATATATAGCATATGTTAATTGTAGTGCAGTCGCTTCATAATTACACTGCATATATGTTTGGAAATTTGTACTTTTAACATATACTGTTAATATATTTATAATCAATACATACCGCAGGCTATAAGTAAATGAACTCTGCGCGATGTTAGCACGAATGCTTTCCGTTAGTTTTATTTCTTAGCTATTTTATTATTTATCTGTTAATCAATTCTCATTATATGTGCATTAAGTAAAATACTACGTGAAGTAAAATTTGTTAAAGAATTGCGATAGGTCTAGGTATATTAATGTGTAATAATGAACATTTTTTTGCTTTCAGATCTCTCATAAATATATAAAAGTCCACACTCGGTTTATGATATAACAAAGCATCACGGCGTTGAATATCTGAATCGAAATGTTAAATTTATCATAATGTCGGATGGAATTGAAATGAAACTTTAAACGATGGTACGCAAGTCAATACAAGTAAGAAGTAATTTAGGAACGTCACTATGAAACATCAATTCGAGAGGGGAATGGACATTGCATTCTGCGTATTAAAATTGCAGATAAGTACCTGACGTAATATCAAGAGTGAAAACTAACCGGAAATACATGCCAGCCCTCGCCGGCTTTTTGCGTTGCAGAGACGAGGACATTTCCATAGCGAAAATAAACCGACAAGATCTGAACCTCCGCCCTCAGGCGAGTGCCCAGCAGTGTTCGTGGGAGCCTGGAAAACAGACACCTTTGTTAAGAATAGAAATCATAATTCTATTCTAATTAGATAGTGTATTCTAACTTATGAGCGAATTCCAAACCACGGAAAAGATATTGAGAAGTATTTAAATATTAGCATTATTTCAACATTTTTTCTTTCTCCTATCTTAATAGAAATACAATTTATGATACTTCTGTCAACAGCATTAAAATATTCTTGATGTTATTTGATGTTATTATAGATAGAAGACGTACTTGAGTTTTTCACTGACGTTTGCTAATGGTTACTTGTGCTTTTGACAACTTTCTTCTACAATCATTTCCTTTGAGTGTCCTCCAAATCAATGATAATTTGTAAGGTATTTATATGTTCCTTAAATATTTTTTGAAATTAATGAAATATATTAACATGTCGTATAGATAATACCGAAGAACCGTTTGAACCTTGGAATATGAATCGATATTTATAAGAGGTAACAGTTTTAAGCTTTGAACTTTATATTTTGGTGGATCGTGACAGTTTAAATCAGGCTGAAAGATTCAAAATTTTAAATGATCACGATCGATCAAGACACAAGGTCAAAGATTTAAGATTATTGTGACTTTTAAATATCGACACGATATGTTAATACATTTCATTATGTGCCAGAACTTTAAATAGAGACGTAGGAATCAGAACTTTAATCGCTATGGATTCCAATCTCTATTTGGAAATAAAAGAATAATAGTTAAGACGTACTTGAGTTTTTCACTGACGTTTGCTAATGGTTATTTGTGCTTTTGAAAACTTTCTTGTACAATCTTTTCCTTTGAGTGTCCTCCATATCAATGATAATTTGTAATGTTTTTATATGTTTCTTAAATATCTTTTCTAAATAATGAAATATATTAACATGTATAGATAATACCGAGGAACCGTTTGAACCTTCGAATATGATTCGATATTTATAAGACGTAACACCTTTAAGCTTTGAACTTTATGTTTTGGTGGGTCGTGACAGTTTAAATCAGGCAGAAAGATTCAAAATTTTAAATGATCACGATCGATCAAGACACAAGGTCAAAGATTTAAGATTATTGTGACTTTTAAATATCGACACGATATGTTAATACATTTCATTATGTGCCAGAACTTTAAATAGAGACGTAGGAATCAAAACTTTAATCGCTATGGATTCCAATCTCTATTTGGAAATAAAAGAATAATAGTTAAATTCGCTGAAAATAGGTACCTCAAACAGACGCCATTTTTTATATTTTCGTTGAATTAGAATTTAGGATTTGTTATTCGGCGATATTTAATTTCTAGCCGTTTATTTCAAAAATATTTATCATATAATAATATTAAATACTTACCGTTGTACTCTCGGACATGCTGCCAAAAATAAGTACTTTCACGCAATTATATAATCACGATAGATTTTCAATAATTCAATTTGTAGGATTTAGTTCACTCATAATTATTTAAAAAATGCACGAATGACCTGGGGTAGTAATCTATCGCGAAAAAAGGACAACTGTAAGAAATCTTTACACTGAATCTCGCGATTTGCGGATTTCGTATTGACTTGTTCGATTTACACAACTGCCACAACTATACTGGATACTTCTGAGGATACTTCCCCTTTACATACAATCGACATTATTTCAACACATAAACACTTCTAATTCTCCTTGTTATATGTTTAAGTGTAACGAATTATTTTTAAATATTTTGCCATAGGAACAATAATATTTTTGTACATATTATATCTAGGAAATATCCTAATTATAGTGTTAGAACAATCGAATGCCAACTAGTATATGATACATATTTCCTATAATATAAAAATTGAAATGAGCAAAAATAATTGCACTGCTCCGACTATTAATTATTTTTGTTCTATGTTGCTGCATCGTCTACGTTGCGATCACAATGCAGCATTTGAATTTATAACATTATAATATTATAATATTATAGCATTTGGGTTTATAAGGAAACCTTTACATTTTTTATAGCTAGGTTTAAGGGAATCTTTATATTCTTGATCGGTAAGAATTATGAAGCCACTCTGTGCCTTTATTATGTTCGGATTTGTACGTATTATGCAGGGCTTGCGAAAACGCCTTTAGTTTTCTAATTATAGTATTGAAATTAAATTAGATGTTCTATCAGGTAGAGTTTCTCAAATTTGATGGGACACGATCTAGATGGAACGTTTGTGAGTCTGGTGAATGGTTATGTAGAGTAGCTTTACTGCTAAAAAGCAATGCTTCCTAGATGCATTAATCCGTTCCTAATAAGTACTTCAATATTTAATTAATTTATACATGCGTAATTAAGAGTAATGTTTAAGTAAATAAGGTAGTGTAAGTAGATAAGCAGTATAATTCTTTATGAGGCGCGTCTTTCCCATTTTTGAAATAATCTTACCACAGACGAGGAAGAGGAATCGACGTGACATTCAATGCTTGTCCGACTCTCACATTTTGCGGGTCGGATGACCTCTCCATACCATTTTCGTGTCGCATGCGAAGTTAATATTTCGGTTTAATACTTGTTTGAATTAAAGCTACAATCTTGTACGAAATTATAAATAAAATATAAAACTGGATATCCAATACTCGCAGCGAAATATAATTCTATCTTGCTACAATATTTCAGTAAACATCACACACTATCAAAATAATAAATTACTGTATAGTAAAGTAAGTAAATAAGAATTAAGTGAATCGTTTAATCAGTTCTAAATGAAATTGCAATTTCATATATCTGAAACAAAAATGTGAATTTCTAAATCTTTCCTATTTCCATCCTTGGATTCTCAAACCAATAATAAATTATGTATTGCCAAGTATAGGTAATCTTATTCACCATCAGAAACTCACGAAACCGGTTCGATAATTTATTGATAACGAACAGACGATGTACCTCGATGTCCCACAGTGTATCTCGATGTCCCAGGACATCCCACGATGTTCTTAGGATATCCTACTCTGCCCCACGGTAAATTCTCTTCGTGGCTTTTGTCCCACGAAGTTTCACGGGGTACAACGGTTTCCCATGGTGTCCCAGGGTATTCCATGGTGTCCCAGGGTATTCCATGGTGTCCCAGGGTATTCCATGGTGTCCCAGGGTATTCCATGGTGTCCCAGGGTATTCCATGGTGTCCCAGGGTATTCCATGGTGTCCCAGGGTATTCCATGGTGTCCCAGGGTATTCCATGGTGTCCCAGGGTATTCCATGGTGTCCCAGGGTATTCCATGGTGTCCCAGGGTATTCCATGGTGTCCCAGGGTATTCCATGGTGTCCCAGGGTATTCCATGGTGTCCCAGGGTATTCCATGGTGTCCCAGGGTATTCCATGGTGTCCCAGGGTATTCCATGGTGTCCCAGGGTATTCCATGGTGTCCCAGGGTATTCCATGGTGTCCCAGGGTATTCCATGGTGTCCCAGGGTATTCCATGGTGTCCCAGGGTATTCCATGGTGTCCCAGGGTATTCCATGGTGTCCCAGGGTATTCCATGGTGTCCCAGGGTATTCCATGGTGTCCCAGGGTATTCCATGGTGTCCCAGGGTATTCCATGGTGTCCCAGGGTATTCCATGCTGCCCCACGGCTTCCCATGATATCCCACGGTGGCCCACGATGGCCCACGTCCAGTCTAGATCATCCAAAATACTTCCTGACTTTTGGTGATCCAAACTGTATTGTATTAGCGTAGGTATTGACTTGGTATAGTTTTCCATAGATTAGTCAACTGATTAATTTTTGAAAACAATGCCAATTACCAGGTCTTATCACGAAGAGGTAACTACGCACGAGACCCGCCCATGAGTTATTTAACATTACACATCGATCTTGATCTTCAACCTATTGGCAAGAATACCGAGTTCTGACTATGTTTAAGCATGGGCCTGCCGGACCGGGACCACCGAACAGAATTATGAATGCACGGCCCCAAGTGAACGAGCGACGTCCACCTCCGCGCCCCCCGAACAAAATTACGGAGGACGGAAATTGCTGGTCCCTGACCGAGTACTGAAGTACCAATCGGACAGGACTGCATATCCACGACTGAATTCCCAACAGATTCGCAACCATCAACGGCGCGACGACAACTCCCGTGATTCGATGTAAACGTCGAGCAGTCATCGAGCAGTCACCAAGGCAGAGATGAAATTAGAAATTGAAAGAGCTGTTCAGTGCACGTTTACCTGCATGCACCCAGTATACGCGCGAGCGAGTATGCCATGCAATTATATATTTAAATCATTTATTTAAAAGTTAGGAATTGATGTTATTGTTTTAGATTAATTATCAGGAGAATTAATTTATTATTGTAAGTTTTTAGATCTTTAAATTTTACAATCCATCAGAATATTATATAACCAGTTACAAAGTTTCGTAACTTAATTCCAAGTATATAAAACGGAGCACATTCAAACGATCACATAATGGAAATTTAGCGAGTATCCCTTGAGATAATTACAATCACGACGCAACGTTATGAATTGCAGAGAGCACGAAAGACACTGATATTTTTCGATATCGGTATTTCAGAACACGCGACACAGAGTCCCATATAATGACACGTCTAATCGCGTTTTTATAATAGGGGATGTGTGAAATATCGATACACATACGAATTACCATCCCAGAGAGAATTATAATATAAATGTAGTTTAGTTTTACGTTTAACTCGATCTTTACTTTCAGTTTTAAATTTCTTCGGTCATTCTTAAAGCTCTTCATGTTGTTTCTTTTCCATAACGATCAAAGAACTAATATTTTGCAAATAAATGACAAGAAAGAATTTGTGCGAATTCTTTTATACAAAATGATTAATATTTTGGGAAAAAGAAGGGGTGATGTTATCGTAGAAGAGAAAGTTGCTATTCAGAGTACTTTACCCAGTGATCTCGGTGGTTTTCTTACCATTTTAATATCGTTCTCGACGTAACGGATTTACCATGATGTTGGGATAGGATCTTAGCAGTATTTGGTATTACAGTTGAATCGTCTTCATTCGGACTCCTGTAATT